GATCGGACCTGCACTTTGCTAGTCTGAACCTTGTGACCGGTCTCGGTCTAGAGGAGAAATTCATCTCAGGGTCATCTCTGGTTGTGACCAGACCCTGAGCCTCGCTACAACCAGACTCTAGCACGTGAGTCTGGTCCAAAGTGTTAGCTCTGGCGCATGCCCTCCGACGCAGTAGAGGAGCGACCAGAACCTAGGGGTCAGAGTCCGGTCCATAATATTTCTATGCGATCATTTAGTGACCGTTGAGATCTAACGCGTGTGGTTGAATGGAGGGACACATGGCACCGATCCACGGTTCGAACCCACACTATAGATGGTCCGGACCTGGGTCCAGAGCCCCCACGACAGGGTAACGGCTATAACTCTTGGGTGGCTCTATAAATAGATTGTGGCCGGCTCTAGGTCACTCTCTTGGGCATTTTGATCATCCATACATTACTTTGATATTGCATCCAAACTGAGTTGGGAGTAATACAAAGTGCATTTGCCTGAGTGATTGCATCTAGTGGCACTTGGGGATCGTTTTGCAATGGTTTTCTTGTTACTCTTGGCGTTTGCCGATGCCTAGATGGCTTGGAGCAGCGGAGGAGTGTTGGCTCGAGTTGGTGATTGTTCGAGGCCACACCGATTGTGCTTGTGAGGGGTTCTTGACCTTGTTCCCCATGGGAGATTGTAAAAAGGTACTCTAGTAGATTGCTCATAGCTTGTGGATCCTCATCTTGTGTTGGTTGTACGGCACCCGGCTGTGGGTTAGGCATGTGATGCCTATAAGCACGTAAACCTCTAAGTGAGTGTATCTCTACAACAAGGACATAGCTTGCCGGCAAGCAAGTGAGCCTTGGTAAAAATCTTGGTGTCATCTCTTGGTATTCTTTGTGATTGATCTCTTGCCGGTTCGGTATATCACTTGATCACTAGCTCTTTACTTTACTCGTTCATATCTTGTGTAGAGCTAGTTGTTTACCCTGCCTAGTTTGGTAGTTGCTTCCTAGTGTAGCTTAGCGAGTAGCTAGAGTAATTAGTTCTTTCTTTTGTGCTAGTTAGCTCACTAGTTTGTAGAAGTATAGACATAGCCTTTGTGTGTGCTCTAGAGATCATATACAACTAGAATTGTGGATAGGTGGCTTGTCTTTTAGTGGAGCTAGAGCAAAACGCATTTACGCCATTTGTTGTTCTAACAAATTGCTCTAGTGTCTTTGAAGAATTTTATAGGCTATTCACCCCCTCTCTAGCCATTTAGGACCTTTCAGCTCGCCATGGGGTTATTTATATCCCCAACACCAAATGGAGCTATTGGCACACAAAACTGTGCCCTGTCAGACCCAACAGGCCAGACCGTCGGACCATCTATGTCAGGGTTCAATGCCCTTCAACGATCGAATTCTCAGTGACGTTAGCCGACCATTGGCACCTGTCTACGGCTGACAGGTGGGCCTATGGTCAAAATGGTCCGACACTACCCCTCGGACTGAGTCCGACACCGTTTGCTCCTCTTGGGAGCTCTCTGGAACCCATCGGACCGTGACTTGAATTGGTCCAATACCCTGTATTCCTCAGGGTTCGACGCTTTCTGTTGAAGCTGCTCTTAGTGAAGCATTCCAACTAACGCCCTATCCTCCTCTGGTTCAATGCTTCTGCCTGAGTGCCGCGCTAGGGCTTCATTGAGTCGGACTGGTCTGGCCGTATGGATCTGACTCCTCTCCTTAGGGTCCGACGCCCTGCTGAACCTTCTCCTTTCTTTTTTTCTTCGTGATTTTGTATATGGCTTGGTTCCATCCTCCGTGTCTTGGACTATGCTTGTCTTTTAGGTCTTCAACAAATTTTCTAATGTCTTGCTTGAGGTGTTGATCCTCCAGATCACCACGTCACCTTCGTCCAAGTCATATTTGCATCATATTGGACTACAAAACAAACACTTGCAAACATCATTAGTTCAACTTGGTCATGTTGATCATCAAACACCAAAATCCAAACTAAATGGGTCAATGGTCCATTTTCCTTGCGTTTAGGTTTGTGGGCAACATGGATATCCATAGATGAGTAGCGTTTAGGTTTGTGCGCAACATGGACAATGGTAACCACGAAAAAGGTATATTCCTGAAGATGTTGAATGAGCATGCCCCTAAAAACCTACCGATGAGTTCATCCAAATTTTCTAATCTTGGTCATTAATAAATAAATTAAGAACTATTAATATGTTATATTATTTTTTTAATAATTATGATGGTAAGCTTAGTTTTGATAAAGTGCTAATATGTTGATTAGTGCATGATTTGTGTGTCATTAGGGTATTAGTAGCGTTAATTAATATATTTTATCTATAATTAGTCATTATCATGACAAAATTATTATTAGTGTATATTTATTAGTGTATAATTAGTTGTTCTTTTAAAATAAAATATATAATTATCAACTATTCCCATTCCTCCAACTCTTATCCATTCAATCAAAACTAATAGTGTATCCCATTCATCTAACAAAACACACAGCATGGATCATCTTATCATGAAATAGATAGATTATCATATCCTATATAACTTTGTCCTCCGACTAAACACATCCTTATTGTCTGTGTTCTTATTAAAATGAGAACCTGTTAAAGCCCCATCCAAAACACCGTGCTCTCTACAGGCGTACATGAACACCCTTTTTGTCCTACGGCCTAGATAAAAAAAAGTAGTATATAAATATTGTACTAATGTGTTTGTAGGATGCTCCTGGGAGGAGTTGATATATACATCTATACCTACCTAATAATAAAGAGGCAAAATTTCAATCTATTTTTTTGTCCATCCATTTTTTTTTTGTCTATCTTCCTCTAACTACCGGACTACGGACTATGGAGAGTTTTTTTTAGTTCGAACTTATATATGTAATAACCTGTGCTCATGCGGGTTAGAATAGCTTTGGTCTAACGTGATATAGAGTCCGATTCGAAAATATATTAGATGGTACAAGAACAAATTAACCGGCCAATAAATCAAAAGGATTGCAGCTACAACTCTATCTCTCTGCAATAGGTAGGAAACAATTCCAATTGATCTCCCGACTAGCAACAGGAATGCTCAGGCCAACAAAAGATAACTTTATTCCGGCCGACCAAATTAAACAAATCTCAGGCCAAACGAAATGTACCTTTATTCCGGCTGACCAAATTAAACAAGACCAAATATTCTCGCTTATCCAATCAATTATAAAATCAATAGCAATAAAAGATGGATCCGGCTTACACAATAAATGCAATCCAACCCCAGCAGTAGCAACTCAATCACGCGCTCCACGTAAATCCACACAAGAATTGTCTTCAGTTCTTAGTAATAGATGGGATCATCATCTACCGCGGCTCAGATTCAAATAGAACAGAACTGACCGCTTTCGTCTGGTTTCTGGAGCGACGGCTCGACAGTGGAATAAAATCTAAATAAATTTAGTCTAATCTAGATGGTCACCGGAGTTAATTTATCCCAATCCAAATCGGTCTCTAGCCGTCTTGCGGAAAGAAAAACTACCTTGCATGAACCAAAGAGAGATTAGGAGGTTTCCTAATTCCTACGTGGACCATCTTTCCTTTCTTAGCTCTGTTTTATTTTTGTTTTTTTCTAATGACCGTCTGTTGTCTTTTTTTAACGTGTGCTTTTCCGAATGGAAAGATATCAGAGGTTTGTCCGTCGACCACCTTTTCCTTCCAAGTCCGACCAAGTATTAGATAATCGTCTCTTGTTTGCAAAAGACCAACTGTATCAGGACTGTATAAACGATGTTGTAAGCCCCATGGGGCGATCTCCATAGGAGTTCAGGTACGACACGTTAAAGTTGAAGTCCAAACGGAAAACAAAAAGGACGAGCAAAAAAGGATGAATTCAACCAAGGCATAACTCTAAATTGAATCGATCATCAAAGAGCACTAAAATTTTCCGCCGGATTTACATGTGTCTCTGCTTGCAAGCCCCATAAATCATGAAATTATGTCTTATCTTACTCTAATATTGGTTTCCCATACGGCGTTTTTCGGTTCTGTTTCTATTTTCGTGTTCTGTTTTTTTCTGTCCGTCTGTTTTCCTTTTTTTTTTCTTTTTTCCGCTTCTGTCTATGTTTTCCTTCTGTGCTTTGACTTTTTATATTTTTATTCTTCACAAATAAATATGTTTTTATTTTGCGACGACAAATAAATATATTTGTGCATTGTAACATGAGAAAAAAGCTACGAAATATTAATGAGAAACGAGAACAAGAACCTTCGTGAGGTCCATCTACTCCTTGCCGGTCTGACCTCTATCAACGGCACAATCAGATCTTCTCTCTGCGCACTACTCTTCTTGATCACTAAGGGCTCCGTCAAGGTTGCCCGCTCGCTCAACTGCGGTCGTCGGGCAACGTCCACGTCGCTGCATGAGTCGTGCCTGGTCAACACCACTGAAGCCACGCTTGTACGGGTGCTGTGCCGCCTCGCATTGTTGGCCAGGTCCACATGGTGGCTGCCGTGCGCTGGCCTAAACTGCTTGCAGCCTGTTCGGGAGGCCGTATCGTATCGTGGATTATTTACTGCTGGCTGGTTTGGTGTGAGAGAAAAACATTATTCCCGATTAAAAATTTACGATCGTTTACGAGCAAGCGAACAGGCTGTTGGTCCGTGGTTGGTGGCACTACGCGCATGCTACAGTGCAGCAGTGCTGCCGGTTCAAGCCACGTCGCTGTAGCCGTTGTGTCCGTGCACGGCTCTACCGTGCAGCCATGCTCATATGCAGTAGCATAATAGATCGCAGTCCCGTTACCACGCAAGAGCATATTTGCTAGTATAAAAATATAAGCATGTCCGAAGAAGCTTTTGTCCCTCCGAACATGTTTTTTATCACAAGAAAAGCTAAGAAGCCATAGCAAGGGAAACCAAAGAAGCAAATGACGAAGGATCATCCTACCTCCGTGCACGTATCTTTATGCGCGTGCAGGCACTTGGCAGAGGCACATTGCTAGCTTATCCTACGGCGGCCAAGTCCTCCTAGTTATAAGCCGGCGACAAAGAGCGAAGAGAACCAGATGACGAGGTCCTCGCTGAGCTGCTGCTCGACCATACCCACGGCAGGTCCACCGATGTGCAGGCGGCAGAGCGGGCACGTCCGGCGGCAGCGCGCCAGCCAGCGGTCGACGCAGTCCCGGTGGAAGGCGTGTCCGCAGGGCAGCCTCCGGATGTCTTCCCCGTCGCGGCACGCCGATATGCACACGCAGCAGTACCCCGCCGACGACGACGACGAGTGGTCGTGCCCCTGTCCGCCGCAACATCGCCAGCGCTCGCCCTTATCGGATCCCGCCGCCTTTGTCGTCGTCCCAACCGCCATGCCGCCGCCGCCGCCCTCCGTGCCGGAAAGAGCCGAGGTGAGCAGCGCCACAACCTGGCTCACCGTCACGGCCAGCATCGCTTAATTACTAGCTACACACTACAGCAGCAGCGCAGGATGAGTGAGGCTATTTGCTTGCTTTGGCTCGCAGTGAGACGAGTGAGTGACTAGTGGGGGAGTGAGATCGAGAGTGGACCAGGATCTGAGACGGGATCGCGATGGCTTATAAAGATGATGATAGCAGCGTAGTATATCATCTGGAATGATGATTTGGGCGAGTAGAAACGAAAAGGGGACCAGAAGGTGCACCTAATGCTCCAGTGGTGGCTAACCTCCCTATATTATGTCACATAAAATAAAAATAATCTTCCTTGGACACAAAGCGTCTGCGATGCTGACTGTAAGACTCTCTCTAATAGCCGATTTATTTTGGACACCTAAATTTAAAATAGGTAGTAGGAGATTCAAAATCAGCCTCCAATAGAGTATTTATATGGGAGGCACAACTCAAATATAAGTATCATCTCTCCTAAAAACCTATTTGCAGAAAAGATTATCTTTTAGGTCATGTTGTTGGAGATAACGTTGAATGGATATTAAACTCTTTGACTGTAGCGATACCCAAACGTTGAATGGGTCTTGTTGTTGTTGAAGATAGTTTGAGGTGGCGCTGATGTATCTGTGATCCCACACGAGTTGTCAGTTTCCAGGAGGTACAAAGACCGAAAGACCCATACACAAACGGTACTATGGTACGGGTATCTGAAATTCTGAACGTCCAAACTTTAACTGCGCTGAAGGGTTCGAGGATTGGCGTATACATACAACAACATGGTTCAAAATTGCGTCGCCAATCTGAACGGGCGACGAATGCCTGTTCGCTCGGCTGATAAGCCATGGCTGAAAATAAATACAGTTGGCTGATTTGTTGTGAGAGAAAAATATTATCGTTGGCTGAAAAAGTACAGTTTCTAAGCCAAATAAACAGTGTTGACGCTTTGTCTGTACTATACGTGGAAAGGCGCCTTCTTCTTTTCGCTCTTTTTCCTCCACACAGCGAATATTCGCTGCCTGTAAATGGGGTTTCTACTTTGTACTCCTGTACTATATAAAAAAATGGCAATCAAGGAATTGCTGTATTCTAGAAGAAGCGTGCATGGAAAAGAAAATAGTACGTGTGTAGCAACAAGTCTCGTGATTCGCAGATGATCCAACGCTGTTCTGTTTTATGCGTCGTATTGATACTACTGTTTATTTGGACATGTACAGAGTGAGCGCTAGCCTATACAGATGCTTGCCGGGATTTGCCATTTTTTTATATACCACCGTGGTCCGTGCAGGCTGCTGGCTGCTGCGAACCCTTCAACTTGCATCGCTGTCTATGCAAGCGCTCGACGTTCGGTGCTGCTTCCATGTGAAATTGACAATTTTTAACATGGGGGGAGCACAGATTAGCTTGGAAAGTTGGTTTTCCCCCATTGTAGCTTAAGACTCGTACAAAGACGTTTTATTACTCTCTTTTTAAGCATCTCTGTAATGGATCTGGCATTGTAATCTTGTGTTGTCAATGGTCCCATGTTGGCCTCTACTCCATCCATCCATAATTACATCAATTTTTAGAATGGAAATTTGTCTCTAATTAAATCTACTTCAAGAGCCTGGCTGTTCAGTAGTCCTTTTATTTTGGTCAGTGTACTCTTGGAAGCCACGCCCGCGTTAACTGGTAGGGTAAAATTGGTGGTGTAGTAAATTACTTGATTAAAAACCAGTACTCCCTCTAAACTAAAAAATGAAGTCGTTTTGGATAGCGACACGGTCTCCAAAGCATAACTTTGACAACTTATTTTTATAAATATATTTATCAAAAAGTGATATATGTAAATTTTTGTGAAAGTATTTTTCAACACAAATCTATACATATGGTTTCTGCATTTTCAAACTCAACAACTTAAAAGTTATTCATGATTTATATTCTCAATGTTTGATCCAAACCTTGTCTAAAACGATTTCATTTTTTAGTATGGAGGGAGTAGTATGCAACTAGTCTGTTTCATTTGCATTTAATAAGATGTCATATTGAAAGGACCTAGGATGCCGCCTAGAGGGGGTGAATAGGCGTTTCTGAAAATTAACATCTTTTAATTGTAGAAACGATTAGTAATGAAAACTCCAAATAAGAGTAATACCACCCCTCACAAGTTAGCCACAGAGTATGTAAAAGATACTAAATAAATCTAGAAACCACAACCCTACGACACAACGATTAATGCAGTGAATAGATAAAAATAGAGTAGGGGCCAATACCGGACACATCCGGTAGAGGTACCATGCATGTTCAGTTCGATCGAACACTTCAGGCAATACCGAACACGTCCGGTAGTTATACCGGACACATCCGGTATACACGAGTTCTGCAGTGTGACCCCTAACTTGCTCCTTTTGATTCCAAACTTCAATCCAACCTATAGGCACCCACTAAAGATAGTGTCACACACAGGTAACCTGCACAATAGCTAGAGCAACACAAATATCAAAAGAAATGTGAATTGAGACACGATATTTGTTTTACCGAAGTTCAAACTCGTTCGATTCCTACTCTCCGTTGAGGGGGCTACGGGCGAACCAGTGAAGGTCAGCCCTAGAGGGTACCACGAAGGTCACTCTAGCCGAAGTCTTTTCTAACTCCTTTTACTCCTTCCACTAGTTGATTCCGAGGCGGCGGAATCAACCGTTACAAACTTTCCGAGGCACACCATAATCTCTCGGATGCTCTCCGGCGACACCTAGCCGTCTAGGACCGAAGAGTCCAAGAGTAACAAATGCAAATCACGAAATAGACAATATACACAAGTGCTCAAGTGGTGGCTTGCTCTCAATTTCGAATTGTCTCTCAACCCACTAATGGATTTGGTAATTTGGATCACACTCAATAAGAAAGGGTTTGGGAGAGTTGGCAAAGCTCATAAACATGCTAGAGGATCAGTAGAATCAACAGCCCCCAAAGATGGAGGCTTGGGGGTATTTATAGCCCCTTTGAAAAACTAGCCATTTTCTAGCCATTGGAATACCGTACACGTCCAGTATGCATACCGGACACGTCCGGTATGACTTGCACTGCGCCAACGGTAACTGAGTAAAGTATCATTGTGAGGCGTCGGAAGTTCCGACGAATGTTGAAACTCCCGACCCCCATCTCATTTGAAAATAAGCCGTTGGGCTCTGGCCTACTATACCGGACACGTTCGGTGTGACCAGGCAGTTAACTCTCTAAGTCAGTTAGGTGTCAAGACGTCGGAACTCCCGACGAATCCCGAACTCCTGATGAACCAACCCGAGAACACCAAGTATTTTACCGTGGCTGGGTAAATACCGGACACGTCCGGTATGCCAGACCAGCAAAAACCAAGTTAGCTCTTTTATCTCTCAAACACTTAAAACTCACAAGGGTTGGCATGAGCACTTATGAATGAATATCTATCAACATGATGCATCCCGCTTAAAAGTACAACATACTTATTAAACTCAAGATCAAAGGAAAAATGGATTTATACCGCTTGAGTTGATCTCTTTTGAATTTATGCCGTCCCTTTCAATCTTCATCAAGTAAGGGTGCCAACATGTCAACTTTGATCTTTTTCACTTGAGCATAATCATCTTGAGCACGTGACTTGATTCCATTCATTAAATATGAATAATTCCAAATGAATCAAGTCACTTCTATTAAACACTCCAATAGTGATTTGATACTCCACATCAACATGACCATCATAGCTTGATTAGTACCTCAACTAAATGCAAGTACTTCCTTCTTCACCCTAGCTAGGTTCTTCAGCCGCCAAGCCGTCGCTTGCCCTTCACCCTTGCTTAGTACCTCGAAGCCTTTCCTTGCTATCTTCACCATCTCAAGCCATCAAGTCACATCTTGTGTTGAATCATCCATTCATTTGTATTGTTATCTTTTTCATTTCAATTTAGCAAGCTTCAAATATGAGACCACTCCATATGCAATCCCTCATGTCTCATTAATTAATTCTTACCGAGCTTGCTTTCACATAGTATATGGAAATCCCACAATAAAAATGCCTTTGCATGAATTCCATTTGCATTGTTGTCTTGTGCTTGAACTAGATTGTTTATACAACAACACATTATTTTTGGCTTTCATTAAACGGGTTAGACCTTTAATCACGATGTCATTCAATCATCCAAAACCCACTAAAGGGCTAGATGCACTTTCAATCTCCCCTTTTTGGTGATTGATGAAAACTTAATTAAAGCTTACAAAAGGATATAAACATTTAAGTTTTTGGGTTCAATGATTTATGAGAGGCCCCCCTTAACATGTGCTTATGATTAGAATTCACAAAAATGACCTCAAATGTCAATTGCACATACTAAAACATATAGGGGACTCCCCCTAAATCATTGCATCCGTGGGGTGCAAGTGTGTGTGACAAAGTAAAACCGTGATGCATATGACAAGATATATCACACAAGAATAAATATAAAAGCATCACATCAAACATTTTCATTCTAGCATGCATGGTCCTTATGAAAATAAATACAACACATGTATGTCACACATAGCACTCATTACATATTTTCTCAAGTCCATAAGCCACTAATATAAATAAAGATCATGTCTCAAGAGATACATAGATAAAGCATAAGTATAAGTCTCATCTCTCACATGATACGAACTATCTCAAACTCAAGATACATCAATGAAGCTCAAAAAACTACAGCTGCAGTACATATCTCCAGGTACAAAGATAAGCAAATGAAACAAACATCATGAAGCTTTAATCAGTCTCTCTCCCCTTTGTCATCCATCACCCCACAAAGGTCCAACAATGACATACTAAGCACAAAGGGGTTGCAAGCTATTTCTGAAAGCTATGATCACTCATCACCATCTTCATCTCCATCTCTGCCATCATCCTCATCATCTGATCGTGGAGCACCAGTTGGACGAGAATCACCCTCACTAGACGGGTCATAGCCACCAGACCCGTAGTAGCTGAAACCACCTATGAGGTCACTCCACCAGCCTGAAGCATACTCATCTGCAGCACTAG